ACATCCTCGCCGCGCCGTCTTCTCTGGGCCGCCGCACACGCCACAGCCACCGGATTCACCACCTCAGACCCTACCCGCGCCGGCGAGCTCGCCAGCATTGCCTTCTACGCCAGTGCCACCCGCACTGCACCATCCTGAGCCCGAGCGATGTTGCAGCAGCTCCTCCATGCCCACGCCAGTGCTGCTCCTCGCGCCACCGCACCCTGCCTCGCCGCCGAGCCTACGCGCCGCCGCACAACCGCTCCTCTCCGAGCTCCCGAGCCGCCATGCCTCCATAGCCGTGATGCCACCCACGACCAGCGCTGGGCCATCGATTCACTGCTCACTACAAACCCTAGCTGATCTGGTGGTTCCCCGATCCTTTCCTCATCTCATTGTTTTCGCCGGTTCGTTAGCGAGTCGGTGCCATTGAGGTGTTAGTGGCAGTTGTTAGTCAACTCGAGGCCAAGCTCGTGAGTACAGATCGAGGCCAAGCCTTGAAAGTGACAGTTGGTAGTTGTTCTTTGTCAGAGGTAGCAGATATTTTAGATGGCTCGCGTGAAGAATGTCGGAGGTGGTCCCGGTGATGAGGATTCGTGACCCCCGCCTCGCCAGCCTGCAGATCCAAAAGGCAAGACGATGAAGAAGCTAGCAACTAGGAAGCAGAAATATCCAGATGCAGAGATAGCTAGAGCAGCCGCAGTTGCTGAGGCCGTAGAGTGTGCCAAGAGAGGAGGTGCTCGCAGTGGTGTGGTTATAGCAGATCAGCAGCTTCCACCAGCTACGAGGGATGCACTTGAGGAGGTTGAGCGCTGTCATGGTGGTCCAGCTGGGACTATCATGGTTGCAGGACGACGTCATGCTACTGATGAGAGTCAGCCTCAAGGGGAGTCACAGCAGCAGGCACCGGCAGCAGAGGAGACTGAGGAGGGACAGTAGGCCGAGGAGACAGAGCAGGCACCTCAGCCATAGCTTCGCCACTCTGGTCACACCCGTGCCCCAGTCACGCCGAGGGCAGATACATAGCGGAGGGGTTCTCATCCACCTCCTAGACCACTAGGTCCACCCCCAGTGACGCACTTGGACTTGAGGGCCGCCACGGCCAAGCAGGTGCAGCAGCTCAGGTTTGTGGAGTTTGATTAGTGGTTCCCACCGAGGACGGATGAGAGAGCTTCAGAGGGCTTCTACACACCACTCTAGGAGAACTTCTACAATGCATATCTTAACAGTGGAGCTGTATTCAGATCTCAGAGGGTGTGCCATATTGATTCTATAGTTGCAGCAGCCGGAGAGCACATTCGCCCCTATCTTGTATATCTGCTGGGGCTGACAGACTTGATTGGACGGACTGGATTATATGTTCCTTCTTGGGTTCGTCAGTTCTATGCTACTCTCTGGATTGACCCGCAGCACAACTTTATTCACTTTGGATTCAGAGGTAGAGATTACCGGCTGACGAGCACTACGGTCAGGGAGATACTCAGGCTTCAGGAGCAGCCTATCAGGTTACATGAGATTTGCTATGGACAGACAACACCTCCTAGATGCCCGCATGGCGGTATGGTGCCCCCTACGGACTTGGTTCGTCACTGTTTCACAGAGCCTTTTGGTGAAGGGTCGAGGAGGAACCCTAGTGATCTCACTCCCACTGCTCGTGTGCTTGAGGCTATTATGAGGAGGACACTGCTTCCTAGGATGGGACACAGAGAGGGCTTGACTCGGATACAGCTATGGCTTATCAACTCTCTGATGCAGCAGACAGTATTTGACATCTGGGATGTCCTTCTGTCAGAGATGGAGGACACTATTGCAGAGGGCTTCAGAGGTCACAGGCAGCTGCCATATGCCTATTGGATCACTTTTCTTATTCGAATGGCAGATACTGTGAGGCCACCAGAGATGCTTGCTGAGTACAGTGGTGCTACGACAGAATTCCCTGCATACAACATGACTCAGATGATCCGTCACAGCACGCCACAGGCACTTAACCAGCCGTGCCGTCGTCCTGATGTACCAGAGTCTACAGCCCAGCAGGATGATATTATCAGGGGTATTGCAGCTACAGAGGAGGAGGAGCTTGCTCAGTAGGAGGGGATGGTCGTGAGCGACCCCAATGACAGTTCTGATGATGACTACCAGCCTATTCCTCATATGCCTCCACGACGACATGACCATGAGGCCGGTAGCTCCAGTTCAGAGCCACCTGCCCCGTAGATAGACCCCGCTCTCCTTGCTATACTTGAGCGGATGAGGCGGGACCAGGCACGCCAAGCTCAGGAGACAGCTGCTACATTTGCTTAGATCTAGACTCGGCAGGATGAATTCCAGCGCCAGCAGCAGGTGATCCAGCAGCAACAACTAGCTATACATCAGCAGACGCAGGCTCTACAGCAGCAGCAGTAGGCCATGCATCAGCAGTAGATCCTCATGCAACAGTAGCTTCTTGGATTTATGCAGCATGTTGTGACAGCTATTGGGGCTCCACCGCCACAGCCTTCGCCCCAGCTTGGTCAGACTGTCACTACTTCTATGACTCCAGTATTACAGCCTAGTGGGCTTCAGAGTCAGGGATAGCCACCAGCACAGTTTGCTTCACCGACAGAGCAGGTGTCTTAGTATTTTGCTACGTCAGTGCCAGCCCCGCAGTTCACACCTCTTCAGACGGGCTTCACACCGGATGAGATGCCCTCGCTGCTAGTGCCGGAGACCACAGTGTCCAGAAGCCTTGGTGCTTTCTTTAGTGAGTTGATAGGGATGCCTACTCCTCTATATCTATATGTCCTAGGTCCTTCTACAGTTGCACCTATTACCGGGACTACAAAGACGCTCCCTTCCTCAGTGGCATCATCAGAGCCTACTATAGTCATACCTTCAGAGTCACAGGCAGCTCCAGTCCTTGATCTGACCTAGACTACTACAGCATCGCTTCCAGCTACAGAGGGTCAGACAGCTTAGAGCTCCGGACCAGATGATGATGGCACCCAGTTCCATCTCGCTCCTCGTACCTCAGCGCTCGACTCGTCCGCTGCAGCCCCGCCGATCGACCCTTAGGTTTTGGTGTTTGATGCCAAAGGAGGAGAGGGATCGAGTATGTTAGACTTAGGGGGAGTGACATATCTAAGGGGAGCTTAGTTATTATATTAGCTTATATATTACATTTGGAGTTTCTATGTATGATACACTATTATGCATTCGTCGTGTGTGCTACATTTATGCATTAAACTATATTTATGTGATAGTGATATCTACGTGATCGTGATATATGACATGTGTGCTCTCTACTTTGAATTATTTATATATTATATCACTTGTGCTATGCTCATTTGCCTTTGCTTCCGCGTTTTACTCCGATGCAAATGAGCTTCATTACTTGTACTCATGCTTAACTCATATCTTTTGAGTACATCATGATGGCTTGGGTCATATAAGCTTGCCTAACACCTTTATTCTTATTGCCAAAAGCTTATATGAGCCAAGCATGTTAAAAACCTCATCTCTTTCACATACTCGAGGTGGTATTGTCATCAATCACCAAAAAGGGGGAGATTGAAAGCATCTAGGCCCCTAGTTGGGGTTCGATGATTAATAACAATACGTGATTACTATGACTAACGTGTGTTTTGCAGAGGCAATTAAGTTAGGTCATGGTAATGGAGATCGATTGGGCAATCATGGTGGTCATGCCCCTACGATGGAAATCGTTTCGGTTTCAAAGGATGGACGACAAAGTTAAAGATGGACTAGTTCTAAGTGTCAATTGGAGTTGAAGAGACACTTAGAGTAGTTTAGGACTTTGTTTTTTCTTTGGCCGTACTATTAAGGGGGGTATGGACGGGTAGCTTGACCTAGGTGAGTCTAGTGAGTTAGGTGTGGTGCACACTTGTTAAAACTAGCACTAGGTAGCTCCAAAATAGCCTTTTGATCCAATGGAGCAAACTTCATTCACATATGATCGAGAGTTGAAAGTGAATGGAGGGTCAAATACTGACCGGACGCTGGTTCCGGGTTGACCGGACGCTGGCGTAGAATCCGGTCAGTTCATTTGACCAAGGTGAAATCGTCTGGTGTGACCGGACGCTGAGAGGTGAAGTGACCGGACGCTGAAAGCCAGCGTCCGGTCGACTCCAGTAAGGTTCTAGAGAGGGAAAATCACGACCGGACGCGTTCGGTCAGTACACCCCGAACTCCATTGCAAGCGTATGCTTTAAGTGTTTCAGATGTTTTAGATGTATGTTGCAAGTGTTTTAGATGAATGTTGCAAAAGTAGATCTGAATGTTGCATATTGCAATGATTGTACACGTATATTGCAAAGGTCTATTCCCAATGTTTTCATCTGTGTTTTTGGACGTATTATTATAAGTGTGTTTATCTGGATGTTGCATATGTTTCACACATATACTGCAAGCGTTTTATCTGGATATTGCGTATGTTTGCAATGGTTTTCAACTGTTTTGGGTGTTTTTGCAAGTGTTTGAGAAGTATGTTTCAAGTGTTTCATTTGTGTTCCACCTATGTTGCAAATATTATATCTGGATGTTTCAAAAGTAGATCGGGCATTGCACATGTTGTAATGCGCGTAAGAAGTAGAGGGGACGCGGGCGGTCCCCGCGCACGGTCTGGTGGTGCGGGGCGATGTCCGAACGGCGCGGGCCCTGCATGGGCACGTGAAACCCAGGCGCAGGATGGGGCGTGCTGTTTTTTTTTTTTTTTTGCGAGCACGGGCATGGAATGCTGATGCGAGCGCGATAAACTGCAGCGCGGACGTGCTGGTGTGAGCGTGGGAAACTGCAGCGCGGATGTCTAGACACGGGCCTCGGACCAGATGTCCGGGCGCTAGTCATCCCGGTTTCATATAAGATCATTTGCTGCTTCTTGCTAACGGTTTGTTTATAAACATGGCAATCCCCTTCAATCCATATGCTTCGGAAGGGATTAAGATGAAAAAAATAGTTTATTTTTCACTCTAATCGGAGGGATTGAGTTTATCCAAATAATGCTGATCTCAGTCTACTCGTTGCAGGGTTTGAGGCACCGAAACTAAGGTACGTACGTGCACAGTGTGTGCGATCATGTGTGCATCATGATCATTTGCTTCTTGAATGGTTTCGTTGACAACAGTTCTACGTGTGCATCATGTGTCACAAAAGGGAAATAGCAGGTCAAGTCGCAGCTCTTGGGTACTACGTCGTGGTTCCCGATCTGCTGCACGGCGATCCTTACAAAGATGGGGTCTCATTTGAGGAATGGATAAAGGCACACTCCCCGGTTTGGCTCTTTAATCACTGTTTTTAAGACCGCAAGTATTCATTGTCCCAGTGATCCCCTGCAATTAATTCTTCATGTCGTTCATTGCCTCTGCAGACTGCAGGCCGACGCAGTTGAAAAGGTGCAGCCGCTGGTTGCTGCTCTGAAGAAGGTCGGCGGTTACTGCTGGGGTGGTGAGTTAATTCATAATATGAACTCATGACTGTGTATTGTTTTCTTGGAATGCATCAGTTATTCATTCTTTGGCTACAACCAAATGACATGGACTCTCTTCTTCCCCCATTCTGCAGCTAAGGTCGCCGTCGAATTAGCGAAAACAGATGAAATCCAAGCGGTTGTCATTTCTCATCCTTCCCTAGTCAGTGTCGAACTGTCGATGACATGAAGGGTACGCTTCCAGCCTTCCACTTGTATTGTAATTTGTAACCAAGCTTTGTTCCGAAGAAAAGAAATGCACCACACTTTTTATGGGCCTTTTTCTCTGACTCAAGCTAATCTGACGCACAGAGATCAAATGCCACATCGTGGTACTCGGAGGCGAATATGATACGCGTTCGCCGCCACAGCTGGTACAACAGTTTCAGCGTGTCCTGGAGCAAAACAAGGCGGTGAGTTTGCAGTTTCAGCTGGCTAGTTTGGTGGTCTGGTTTCAACTTTGACTAGCAGTTCAGGCAATGAGCTCCTGGCTGGTGGTCGAACAATACCCGATGCATGTGAAGTTTATTTTACGGTTGCAGATCGACCACATGGTGAAGATCTTCCCGAGGGTTCCCCATGGTTTCGCCTGCAGATACAACTCCAGTGACCCGTTCGCCGTGAAGACCGCGGAGGAAGCTCGCGAGGACATGGTCAGCTGGTTCAACAAGCATCTGAAGCACTGAGATTTGAGAGTGAGAGCTTCCAGTTCCAGCTAGCTGCAGGGATCTACCCCTAAGCATCTATACGGAGGAGTAGCTAGGAACACGCCTCTCTGCGGAATAATTAAGTAGCTCTGCCTCTCCATCTCATGGAATCTTGTATTATTACTAAGTAGGAGCAGTATAGTTGAGTCTGAACACTGGATAAATTACACGCCATCGTCAGTGCAGACACTCTATTGTAGAAGCACCGCCTGATCTCTGGCCCTGTACTGAGTGTCAGATCAGCTGGCAGCGTTGTGTTGTCCAGAGGTGTATCAGGTATCAAGCTTCATCCTTGGTTGTTCAGTATTTGAATCGCCAGTCTGATGATGGAATTATAAAAATTTGGGCGCGCAAAGAGAGTACTGAAACTGGTCATTTAGAGGTGAAGCTATTGTGGAAATAATTCATCCATTCCACCCTTTGAGCTGCTCCACTCTGAGGTTGCATGCAGAAACTATACGACTGTTAAATGTCCCTCGAGTGCATTTGAAAATGAACGCAGAAGTTTTGCTTTACGCCTTCACAGGCGGGTTACAGAAAAATACAATATATGGGAATATAAATAAAGCCAAAAAAATAGTGTGGACATTTTTTTTTTTGTGCGACATTTGTTTTGGTTCGTCCGTCTGCCCACGTCTGTGATCCCACGACATCTCCTTGATTGAATATTGCCTGTCATGTGATAGAGGAATCACAGTAAAATATGAAGTAGAAAATTATTGTGCTATCCATATACACATCGCATGTTTGCATGCACCAGCATACATGGCAACGAGCAAAAGAAAAGAGAATTAACATAGAAGGAAAGATAATTAAGAAAAAAGAAACATCTTTGTATTTCTGATAACCTTATCAAATCTGCCTACATTTAATTACTTCCCATCTTTGTATTTGCAAAAGGGACAGCTTTTTCCTCCTTTCATTTGGTTTCACGCTTACGTGTTCCATCGCCCTCGCTTGTTGTTTCTTGCGTGAACCATAGTTGATGTCATCTGTCTTCCATGGCTCAGCCTCCCAATCCCAAGAGAAGGTCCCTACCTCTCCCTGACTGAAGATCCGGCCTACTAGAGGATCTCTTCGAGTCCATCGGGCAGCGTCTCGCGTCAGGCCACGACGCGGCGTCCTTCCGATCCGCTTGCTCCCCATGGTGCGCCGCCGTCCCGTTTGCGACCTTCAGGCCGCTCTTGCTGCTCCCATTCAACCCCGACTCAGACCGCGTCGGCTTCTACTACGCCGCGGAGAAGAAGGTCTTGTCCAAGACGCTGCCCGACGTGCGCGGCAAGGTGGCGTGCGGCTCCTCGTGTGGGTGGCTGGCGCTCATGAACGAGGCGGCGTCCGTGATGCTGCTGAATCCATTCGCCGGTGCCCGTGCCCCCCGCGTTGAGCTCCCGCCAACAGGCGAACACGTCGCGGCGGCGTCCTCATCGGAACACGTGTCTAGGGTCCACGGCCGGTGGGTCCTCCATCCCACCAACGGCTACGGGGACGCGGATGCCGCAGGTAGAGCCATCAAGCTAGAAGACATGAGAGATGTGTTCTTCCGTGAGATCGTGCTCTCGGCGCCGCCTGACGCCGCCGGCCGCGAGTGCGTGGCCATGGCCATGCTTGGGTGCTCCACGGAGGTCGCGTTCTGCCGGGTTGGAGTCGACAGCGCATGGACACTGCTCGACACCAAACTGGAGTTCTCCGTGGGGTCACTGCACTGGAGAAATCTCCGTCTGCAGCAGCAACGCCGCCGGCACTACTCCAACCGCGACGCTGCTGCCATCGCTGTCGCCACCTGCGGGGCTTTGCCACCGCAGCTACCTGGAATCAAACGGTGAGCTGCACATTGTGGGTGCCATGGTGAGCACGTTCCACGAGACACAGAGCTTCACCTACAGCAGCGCGATCTACAAGTGCAACCTCCACGACTGTACGCCGGAGTGGTCCAGGGTGAGGGACATCGGTGATCAGACACTATTCGTGTCTAAACATTTAAATGAAAGCTTCAGTGGAACAAGTGTATCCAATTATAAGAAGAACAAAATCTACATGTCTGAGCCATTGTATGGGGATCCATACGACTTGGTCCATCGACTGGAGATCGTTGATATTGCTACCGGCGCATCCGAAGTGAAGCCCGTCCAGGAAAAGATGCAGGGTTCCGAGACTCCAGGTTGGATTCGACCCAATCTCTGGAAGCTCTAGAGTTTGTGAGTCTGCGACGCCGCGCACTCCGTGACTATATTAAATTCATAAACTTTGCTTTTTGGATTAATTGTCACTTAATGTTGGTATTTAATTTAACAGTATTGTTATCTTATCATGCGATCCGTATGTTTTTAGTATAAATTGTTAGTTATCCTGTAACAACGTACGGGTACGCTGCCTAGTATAAATAAAGCCAAACAAAGAAGGGCACGAAGCAAAAAATTCCGTTGCCGGGACTCGAACCCAGGTCTCTCGGGTGAGAGCCGAGTATCCTACTACAACGGATTTTCTAAGCCTTAAAATAGGAAGTTTTTAATCTAATATGAAATTAAGATAGTAAGTAATTCTCAAATGCCAAAATAAGCTGGACTGGTAACTCGATAGATTTGTCACGTAGAATGCTTGTTATTATACCAGAATCATCGCCAAACAAGCAATATCCAGTGCTCACAGAGCATCATGTGTTCCAATCAAATTATCCTTGCACTCTGTTCAGACTTCATAGACCAAGCCTCAAACAGTGCCCCATCAAACCGATACCTACTTTCACTTTGTTTTAGAAAAAAAAAAAGGTCGATTTGTTGCAGCTGTAATGATGCCCCATTGCCCCCGTCCCCCGAGAAAGCATGTATCATGGTCTCATGGAGCCATGGAAGCATTGGGCTAGGCTGCTACCATACGAATACGAGAGAACAACATAGGCCGAAACATACACCTGCTGTGCGTGGATAACCCTGTTTCTACGGATTGAGTTGCAGCTGGCGGCAGGCGAATCTGCGATGCACACCCCCTGCAGCGGGAGACGAGATCCGTTCCTTGCACACAGCAAAAGCAACGGACTCCTCCAGCCTCCAACTCTCCACTCGGCAGCAAGGAATGGCACCTGGATGGCTTCCTTGCAAAGCAAAACGCAAGAACGTCATCATCTATGCCTTGCTTTGCCGCCGGTCTTACCTTTCAACCGAAGAACGGCCCAAATGCTGCTAGCCTGCTAGTAGCCTCGTATCCTTTCTTTCTAGCACGGCAGCACACGCATATATACGCGCCGCGCTGATGCCTTGACGCACCGCAAAAGAACCAGAGCGCAACAGCGGCACCCGCGCTCACGGTTGAGAGTTGAGTTGAGAGACTCTGTCCCAGCAAGACAACTTCCCCTCCGGCCGGCCGGTTCGCGAGCTAGAGCGAGGCAGCGGCATGGCGTCCGCCGCCCACCGGTCCATGGCGTCCGCCCTCCTGTTTCTCAACCTCATCATGTACGTCGTCATCGCGGTCATCGCCGGCTGGGCCATCAACTACAGCATCGACGAGAGCTGGAACTCGCGTAAGTGTATTTGACTTTTGACGTCGCCGGCTCGCCGCGCCGGGCGCAAAGGCAGCAGGCAGGAAATGGTCATGGCAAATGTAACAATAGTAGTGACTGCGTGTGTTGGTGCAGTGAAGGGCGCGACGCCGCCGGTGCGCCTGTTCCCGATCTACTTCCCGATCGGCAACCTGGCGACGGGGTTCTTCGTCATCTTCGCGCTCATCACGGGCGTCGTCGGCATCGCCACCTCGCTCACCGGCCTGTACGACGTCAGCCAGGGGTACCCCGCCAGCATGATGTCCGCCGCCGCGTCCTCCCTCGTCACCTGGACGCTCACCGTCCTCGCCATGGGGCTGGCGTGCAAGGAGATCAGCCTCAGCGTCAGGCCCGGGAGCCTGGTAACTAACTACCAATTGATCCAATGCATTGCATTTCCTTTCCTGCATGCGTGTCTTTTCGATCGCTCGTGGCACGATATGTCTCTGTGCGCTTATCCAAACCATGTCCGAACAACATAGGCCTGGTGCCCTCTCTTACATATGTTTCTGTGCGTCGATCTCCGTCGCACATGCAGCGCACCTTGGAGGCGTTCACCATCATCCTGACCGGGACGCAGCTGCTCTGCGCCGGGTCGCTCCACGCCGGCGCGCACGCGGTCATCCTCGAGACGCCTATCGGCGGGGTTTAACTGAGGCGCGCAATGACGACGAACTTGGAAAAAAACATGCATGTGTCATCTTGGCAGCGTGATTACATTGGTGTGTGTGCGTGCGAGCGAGCGCGATCGATGCTATGGTTCCACACATGCCGTGTGTGTGCTTTCTGGGTACCTAAAATTCGTGTGTTTATTATTCCTTATTCGTTTGTAAAAAGCTGGCGTGGTCTCGTATAAATGGTAAACTATCGGCGATTCTTTTCAGACTACTGCGAGTATATACACTGGATTTATACCAAAGAAATCTCTCTAACCTGATTGCATTTCCGGAATGGACTTCGGACATTGTTAATTTAGCCATCCGATGAGATCTCGTACCATCAAACGTCTCGTGTTTGTCGTCTCTGCAGGTAGTGTGTGGAATTTGGTGAATGAGTTGCACAATAGGGGAAAGCGGCCGTGCATCATGGCATACTTCTATATAGAAGAGAAGTAAACAAATGAGTAATTCATCCATCCAAAAGTACTCCTACCTAAATACGGGCCAGACGGGCTTGAGCCAAGCCGAAAAACTAGGTCCAGATAATTTTGGTCAATAATATCAGTTGCACAGGCCCAGCTCTATAATCCCAAGGGCTGCAAGAATTTCATCCTATAAACTTCTACGGAATAGTCATTTGAACTCCTCAACTTTCGAATTTTCCGCCGAAAACAGTTTATTTTGCTCTCCAACTTGAAAACCGTTCCTTTTGCGCCTTGATCGTTTTCAATGATGGTTTTCGCATATGTGGCGCCATATCAGTTTGTCCCACGTGGACAAGTTATTGAGTTAGCAATAGGATAAAAAATGACCCTACCCATAACCCTAACTCCATCTCCTCCATTTCTTGCCGCCATCGTCCTCTCTCTTCTCTTCTCTCTCCGGCTGTGACAAGTTGAGCGTCTATGTGGACCTATGACAGCCCCTCTAGTAGTGGGGCTTAGAGCACGGCCGAGGTGGAGCTTGGCCTTGGGGTACTTGCATCCGGTGGTGGGAACCCTAAATCCTTTCAATTTAGTTGGGATTGATGGTCTTGGGTCCGATGTGGTATCTTTCGGATTAAGAAATGAGTAGTTGCGGTTGATAGGTTTGATTCCTTTTATTTACAATGTGCATTGTTTAATTGGACATTGGTAAGATTAGCGTGTGGGATTATTGAAATGGCTTAGATCTACATTGTTTATGTAGCGGGATTAGCTAAGCAATGTTCTTGGTTAGAATGGATGTACTCTTTTAGGACTTAGCTGTTTGTTACATTCTGTAGTGTTAGTGATGAATGCATTGATGAGCATGTTGGTTGTTATTAGGTTCTTTTTCAACGAAGAGTGTATAAATGATGGGAAATCAAGCATTATGTTGGTGAAAGGGAGTAACTATCATATATAGAGTGTGATAAGGTATCACTGCCAAAGGTTGTTGGTCATTTATAGGATCACTGCACTATCGGAGATGGTTGCATTGGGTTTTTTTCTAGAAAAGATATGAAGAATAGGCTACATGTTTTGGTTGATGACAAAGCATGCCTAGAAATGTCTGATGCCATTGTTGAAGGAGGGGTGGCATCATGGCAGAGAGAGAGAGAGAGAGAGAGAGAGAGAGAGATGTGGAGGCACCATTCGTGGATGTTGATGCTGACAGTGAAGCCAATGATTATGAGGATCAACTGGAAGCCATGCATGGATGATCCGGAATCTGGTGAAGACTTGGGTTTTGAAAAAGAATAAGAAGGCCCTAATGAAGAAGGCGGACAAGTGCAACCTGCTAGCTAGATTAGAATCCATAGATGATGTTGAGATGTACATCAAGAAGCTGGAAGATAGGGTATCACTACAAACCGTGTCACTATCGCTTTTAAATTATCTGGCAGTGATACACTGACATGGATTGTGTGTTTTGTAGTAGTGATATCTCAAGAAACTAGAAGAGTAGTGGATAGAAGGGATGCGATGGGGGCAGAAAGACGAGGAATCACGGGGATATGGTGCGACTGTTTAATTGCCTGACATTTCACCGGTGCATCTAGTGTGGTTTGATGTAGTTACACTAATAGAAAACAGACCTTTCACCCATTTTGATTTTAGCCTTTAGTCTCGATATTTTTTACGTTCGGGACTAAAGGACTTTTAGTCCCGGTTCGTAATACCAACTGGGACTAAAAGTCATCTTTAGTCTCGGTTGGTGTCACCAATCCGGAGTAAAAGTTCACCAACTTTTAGTCCCGGTTGGTGTCTTCAACCGGGACTAAAGGTCTTTTACCCGGGACTAAAGGTCTCCCACGAGTCTATTCAAAAGGAGAGCGCACATGACTCTGTCACAAGTGGTGTGTAGTTGAGTTGGTAATGTACCTACGCGCGAGGAGAGAGGTGTTGGATTTGAATCTCACGTAGAGCAAGCGAGGCCTTGAGGATTTCCTTTATTTTTTTCTTCCGTGGGTGACCTTTAGTCCCGACTCCCAGACCCGGGACTAAAGGTGTGGACCTTTAGTCCCGGAAATTTAGTCCCGGTTGAGAAAACCGGGACTAAAGGGCCTTTCCAACCGGGACTAAAACCCGTTCCTCTAGTAGTGTTAGATTTATATTAGAGCTTGTCTATCTAACACCCGGGTGTTTTAGCACCCGATAACACCTGAATTTTTTCCCCCATAGATATTGTTCATCTTCCTCCTCTCTTCTCTTCCTCCTTGGCACAAATCACAAATCACAAGTAACAAAACACAAATCACAAGTAACAAGTAACAAATCACAAATCATAAATCACAAATCACAAGTAACCATTTTTTTCTATGAAAGGACAGAGACAAATTTGGTGGCGGTGCCGGAGTTGGGGAAGAAGCTCACCGGAGTTGAGGAAGATGCCGGGGATGGCGGTGGCGCGGGGACGGGCGGGCGCAGGCACGGCGGCGCAGGCGCTGCAGCGACGTGGGCGCGGCGGACGTGCGATTCCGCGGCAAAAAAAATCGTGTGCCACCGGGTAATAAAACACCCGGTTGTTGTATAGCATTTCCGTTATATTAAGTGCCTTTGCTACCAGGAGGTAACTGAGGGGGAGGATGACATGGCTTTAGAAAATCACAGAGAAATCTACTAGTGGAGATTAGCTTTTTAAGCATAGAGGATATAAATATATGTTTACTTATTAATCCACCCATTTAAATATATTAAGAAAAGCGTGTTAGGGGCTTATGAGGCATTTATTTTGGCTGTTGAATTGATCAACAAATTAACACTTAATCTATATCATATTCTAGGTGCTTGATTTTTTGTTGTTGTTTATGTAATATGTAATTTTGTCATTGTTTGACTATAGAAAAAAATTATGAATTATATCGTGTGAGTTGTTATTTTTCATTGTATTAGTTGACTAAGTTTTTTTCCTGAAAATTTAGGCACCTGAGATATAAGCAGCGGACATAAATTAAAGCCATTTTCATGTACCTTGAGTCACGCTAGTAGATACTGCAATGGAAAGATATGTGATCCTGCACACAATATAGCGTACAAGCTATTAAAAAACGCGGTACAATTTGGACAAAGCATGTGAACTAACATACCATTAATGCAGCCGTGAGAGTTTACGGTCACGATTTCAATTAGTACTTGACGTGAGAAATTACACTACTATTCATCACTCTCGCTCTGAAACTCACATCATCGCTGCGTGAAAGAAAATTAAACTCACACGTACACATCATCTAAGCTACGTACTCCCTTTTATCGCACTCCACGTCTTTGTCGACTTAATGAAACAGCTCCATGCATCGAGTGATCTATAAATACCAGCTCCCTGCCTCCCATATTTTCTCATCTATCGACGACTTTTTTTTTAAGGGTAAAGCATCGACGACCTCACACTCGCACCGTCGTTGTGCACGCACATCCAACACAAAGGCGATCACGAGAACCATGGCGCCCAAGCTCCCCGCCGTTCTCCTCGCTGCCTGCGCCGTCCTCCTGGCGCTCGCCGCGCCGCTGCTCGCCGGCGACCCCGACATGCTCCAGGACATCTGCGTCGCCGACTACAAATCGCTCCAAGGACGTGAGTCGATCACCCGTACTCGCTCTAATGCATCGGTCATTTCACTTTGTTCATCCTATACATTCCTCCATGTGCATTGGCGTTGCATTACTGATTGGAACGAACGCGTGTTTGTAATAATTGCCCGTTCAGCGCTGCGGGTGAACGGGTTCCCTTGCAAGCGTGAGGCGAACGTGACGGCGGACGACTTCTTCTTCGGCGGGCTGGCCAAGGCCGCCGACGTGTACTCGGGCAACCCGATGGGGTCGGCAGCGACGGCGGCGGACGTGTCGGTGCTCCCGGGGCTCAACACCCTGGGCGTGTCCATGGCGCGCACGGACTTCGCGCCGTCGGGCGGCGTCAGCCCACCGCACGTGCACCCGCGCGCCACGGAGATCCTCTTCGTCGTGGAGGGCATCCTCGAGGTGGGCTTCGTCACCGCGGCGACAAACCGGCTCTTCAGCCGCACCGTCGGCAAGGGAGAGGTGTTCGTGTTCCCCCGCGGCCTCGTGCACTTCCAGCGGAACGTCGGGGAGGCGCCCGCCGTGGCGATCTCGGCGTTCAACAGCCAGCTGCCTGGCACGCAGACGGTCGCCGGGGCGCTGTTCGGCGCTGCGCCCACGGTGCCGACGGACGTGCTGGCGCGGGCGTTACAGATCGACGGCGGAGTGATCGAGAACATCAAGTCCAAGTTTGCGCCCAAGTAGGGCATACACTACACATGTCTCGAATTGCAAATGCGCAAGTGATCGAAAAGAGTGTACGCCTAAAGTGATCAAGTTATTTCAGCGAGATTAATGTGATGCTTTATTTGGTAATTTGATACTTCAATCTGCACACATATCTGCTTTACTTTTTTTTATCATCATGTCTGCTTTACTTGGTACTCTTACTTGCGTACCATGTACTACTCCTGTACTATAGTAAAATCCTTTCATTGCAAACCCTGATATATGGAAAATTACCACTACTGAGACCGTCTCCAATGGTGTTGGCAAACCGCGACGCATCCCCAAAATGCATAGTGAACAATGCTTTTGCGGTAAAAAAAGCCCTCCAACAGAGTACCCAAACACGGGAGGCATTTTGCGTCAGAGGCAACACGGTACCCAAACTTGTGTCCTCTCTCCGTCCCTTTGCGTCTCCTCCACGCGAGCTACTGCTGGTCCGGGACCGCGGCGCCTCCACGACGGCGAGGTGGGACAGTGGCGCCGGCGGGGGAGCATAGCAGTGGTGGGTGGAGGAGAAGCATAGCACGGCGGCGGCGGTGAGGAGCTCGGCTCTGGCCGCGCTCGGCTCAGACAAAGGGTGGCGGCGGGTAGACGCAGCAGTGGGGGCGGGTGGAAGAAGCAGAGCACGACGGCCACCACCACCACCACAGCCGTCGCCCACCACCACCACCACCACCACGCACCACCGCCCCGATCCGGGAGAGGGAGAGCCGGATCTGGGAGAGGGAGGGCCAGATCCGGCCGCCACCGGAAGGGCCGGGGAAGAAGAAGGGGAGGGAGGGCCGGATCTAGCCGGGGAAGAAGAAGAGGAGGGAGGGCTAGATCCGGCCAGGGTGCTCCTCAGCGTGGCCCCGGCGTAGGGCTCCTCGGCTCGGGGCCACGGACGACGCGGCGGGCGGCCATGGCGGCTTCTCCGAGCGCGGCTAGGGCGTGCGGGTGCCTGCTCGCCGGAGCTCTCGGGCGCGGCCTCGCTGGAGCAGCCATGGCAGAAATATCTGAGGCCAGGAGGGAGGGCCAGATCCGGCCGGGGAAGAAGAAGGGGAGGGAGCGCCGGGGAAGAAGAAGAGGAGGGGAGGGGCGCTAGCGGCAGGGAAAGGCAGGGTGCTCGGGGCGGGGTGCTCAAGAGTGGACCGCCGATGGGGCGTTCTGTTGGAGAAGGTGAACTTTTGGGTTGCGATCTTTTTCATGTGTAGGACCCAAATCAAGGAATAGGTATCAACGAATAGGTCTTGGGTCGTCATGGTTGGAGTGTTGGAGGCAGTCTGAGGTACTTCCAAAACCAAGTCAAATTGCCTCGTGGCGAGGTTCAGGCCGCCGGCGCCACGCACGACCCATCCGATGGCTGTCGCCGTCCACCTCCGCCCTCTCACTCGTTCGCCCTCCCTCTCCCCGCAGCAAAGGCTGCGCCGAGCTGGCTCCCCCTCCCGGCGAAACGCGGTGCGCGGAGGAGGGGCAGCCGCGTGCCCCTGCTCCTCTGCTGCGCGTCTTCTTCCCCCGCGCCAGCGTCTCCCTCGCCCTCTGGCGGGGACGACGCCGCGGCGTCGGCCGCGACAAAGTGGGTGGAGTGGATCCCGCGCGCCGCGGCAGGCGCCGGGTCGGCGGCGGGCCTCGAACAGGTGCTCAGGCTCATCTCTGGCGCCGCGGCCACGCCCATCTGCCAGTTCGTCGACAGCCCGCGCACCTTCCTCCATTCCGTCGACCCGCGCGTCAAGCTGGTACGTAGCGTCCCGCTTTCTCCCAGCACGCGTAGTGGATAGACTTTACTATCCTGTAGGGGTGGGCGGGGAGGGTGCATGGGTGGTGTTTGTGGGAATGTCGCCGCGAGTGTGATACGATAAATAGAATGCAAATGTGTCAATCTATCTGTCAGCCCCGAGTTGTTGTACTAAAGATACTGTGATTGGGCGACTGGGATGCAAATCAATGCATGAATTGGAGAGGGAGGGAGGCAAGCAGGCAAACATTCCCAGCTCGCTGTTTTTTTCCTTCTGAGCAACTGTGCAAACGCGCATATTCTCTAGCTGACCATGAGTCTTATAACCATCTATGCTGCTTTGCTATTTTCATGAAAACAGCTTGTGTTTAATTAATGTGTGATTATTAATTGATTCCCTACCTTTGAGTAGCAATGCTGGCAGGATCTAATCATATTTGTTCTGTTATAAATTAGTTGTGTCCTTCCAATATATCTCTTGTGATTAACCGACATGAATTCAAATGACACTCCAAAAATAACATAAGCAAACGTTATTTCTCCAGCTGTTGTGATTTCAGAAACTTTTAAGCTAACAAAAACATTCCACGGAAATAATATTGGGAGATGTACGAGACTTTGAAGAGGTTGTGCTTTTGATAATGCTTTAGTATTTCGAGAATAGCAAAAAAAATTTATGTAACATCTTAGCCAGCAATAGTTCCTTACTGAAAATTATAAATGTTTTGAGAAAAATTCACATTGTTATGTTAGTGCATTTTCTAGCCAAAAGCCACTGCAAGCAGGGTTGGACCCACGGGGTATGGCAGGATATTCCCCGTGGCAGCTCAGCACTCACTCATCATAGTTTAAATGAACAAATTTGCAACTACACTCAAAAGTGGGTTGGTAACCCAGTGGTATGAGTATGATGCACTTTGGTCCCTTAGCTAGGAGGGGGTGCTAGTTCAATTCCTTGTGAGTTGCATTTTAGTTTTTATTTTTCTATTGTTATCCCTTTAGTTTATATTTTCCTATTTTTTATCCCATTCAGGATAGGAGTGCTTGGAAAGCAGCTATTGATGTGCCTGAACCGTGACTACGGGCTCATGTTGGGTTTCAACTCTAGCCTACCCCAACTTGGTTGGGACTAAAAGGCTTTGTTGTTGTTGTTGTTGTTGTTGTTTTATCCCATTCAGAAATTAACTATAGATAGTATACTTCCTCCCAACTAACAACAACATGTTACTAGATCAGTTTTTCATGAACACGCGGGAGAGCTGCGTACCTTTGTATTAAGAGAGAAATACTAGATCAGTTTTTATTTTTCCTATTTTGTTTATCCCTTTAATTTTTATTTTCCTATTTTATCTCCCCTCTAGAAATTAACTTAGATAATATACTTCGCCCGAACTAACAACAACACAGTACTAGCTCAATGGGGCGTGATGAGTGTGCTGAATAATTGTAAGCGTAGGCTACACAAGTAGTATTGTAAGCTTCTTTTATGCAATTGTTTTTTTCTCAAAAACGCAGGGGAGCTACGTATTGTTATAATAAGAAGAAAAAAGGGGAAAGAACCCTATTAGAATAGTGTTTGGATTATTTGTATTGTAATATTTTGAACTATTAGAATAGTGTTTGAATTATTTGTATTGTAACCTATGCAAATTTCGAACTGGTACTGTTGAATTTAGGACATATGATGTTATATAGTACATGTATACCAAATTGCGGCACAAATTCTACGATTATTTACCATATTGCTAAATGGATTTTACCAAATTGCATGTAAAAGTTTTGGTGCTGCCTACCCTTTGGCAAAATTATAAGTCCGCCACTGCTGCAAGTATTCTTTCTTTACTTTCTGTTTTTCCTTTGTCTTGCCTTTCTTTACCATGTAGCAGGGTTTGCCCTAGCTCTTCCCTAATCGATAAAACCATCCATTATGCTTGTGTAGTTATGAGTCCTTGTATATACTTGATCAAACTGTGTTTTGCACGGTTGTCAGAATCGAGACTCTAAATCAGATCAAAGGCCTTTAAGTAAGATCGGAATAATAGGATCGCAAACATAAATCATAGATTCCTTTGACTAGAATTATAGAATCAGACCCCTTAATCAAGATTGTAAAGTTGTAATATCATATGACAAAATCACGATTTTTAAAACTAGGGTGTTTTGTATGCTATTGCTACCAATATAGAATAAAATGCTTGAATCCCCAAACAAAGCAGTTTTGTAATTTACCTTTTCCATGAATCTATTAGGTTGTTCCTCATATCCTGATGGATGGAATCTTCATTACTTCTTCTTTTTTTTGGCTTGGCTATCTCTGATATGGCCACATCATGCTACCAACTTACCATACCAGTTTTCAGTTTTTCAGCCCCTTTTCTGTATTAACATAATTTGACCAAAGTTCAAAGATGAACTGAATAACCTTGTGGGTGTTGACCTGCTATGATTAAACAATTCATATACTTCTTTCTGTAGGTGTGGCTCTTGGCCCTTGTTGTCCTACCAGCCAGGTCAAATATTTATATGCGGTTTGGTTTGGTAGTATTCCTGTCCCTTCTTTCAATGTGGGTTTTACCAAATCATGTTTGGAAGGTACGATTTTATGTTCTATTAAAATTCATTTGCTGAGAATGTAATTTGTGCTTAGCTAACGAATTGTGGTTTCAATTGTCTTCTATTTGTTTCGAGTTTCTTTATGATGTTGATACATAGCGCATTGATCATAATTTTACATATGTAGTTGCAGCTTATGGTGTTTAGTATGTCCATACGACGTGGTAATACCTTGAGTCTGATGCAGCAAAGCTGTAATGTCTGGCTTTAACTTCACCCTTGGCTGCCCAGTCGTTCTAATGTAGCTGTTAATTTTCCTTCTAGGATTCAGCTAATGTTATTTAGCACTTTGCTCCACGGTTTTTGTTCCCTCGTATATTCAAACTGTTCTTGTGGGATGTGCTTGTTTGTACCTGTAAACAAATTTTTTTTAACGCATACCTCTAAACAAAATCACATTTACTCTGTAGGATCAACTTGGAAGGGTTGCTCGCCTTTCAGGATTCATATTCATCATGCTGGGATTTGGTGCTGATGGTGCACCTTCATTAGTCCAGACGAGAACGCCTCCACCTTCTGTTATAGGCATACCGAACATTCCTTGCTCCACAAGTGGGTATTCTTACACAATCTTGAAACTGGGACCACTGCAATTTACAAGGAAAGGCTGTAAGGAAAATGGACCCTTGGCCTATTTACTTTGGATTTT